ATGATATCTCAGTGTTGTTTAATTTGCATTAGCGTGTGTGACGCTGATGCAGGCAGTGTCCACAGCCTCCGTGGCGGCATCCTGCAGTGCAGAGATGACTAACCTACGTGAAGTTTGGCTTTTGTCATAAATAAAAGATAATAGTTTAAGAAAGTAAAATACATCGAAATAGAATGGCTGCCTTTTGCCAGTGTAGAGATCGCCCTGGACCCCGCCCTGCTAGCGCCTGTGCCCCGCTGAGGTAGCCCCCGCTGAGGATGCAGCTTGAGCCAGCCAGTCTCTGGGGCCAACACCGCGGTCCTGAGCCTCTGGCTTCCCGAATCCTGTGTCCTGTCTCAGGCTGTCCAGGCTGGTGCCTTCCTCTCCCTCTGGCCCTGGCACTGTGAACCATGCCTGGGAGTCCAGTTTTACTTCTTTAGGCTCCTTTCTCATATTCCCATTGTTCTTTCTGAAATAATAGAAAATGCTAAGAAAGGTAAGCACCAATGCCAGGCCAGACTTGCCCGGGACCTGCAGCCCGCTTGTGCGCCTGGCCTCTGGGGTTTGTGCCCTCAGCCCCGAGGAGCTCCAGCCCTGGCTCGGTGAGGCACAGCCGCCGCCATCCCCCACGCTCTGGGGGGCTTCAGCAAGTAGCAAGAACCATGTGTGACTGTTCTAAGCGAGGGGACAGATTCTGAGGACGGCTCCTGCTAATGTGTCTTCGCTGTTTTTGTTTTCTAAATTTAAACATTCACTACTGTTTGATCATATGTCATAGTTTAGACAAGGGCGTTTTAGTGATGTATTCTGTGCACTTAGCGTCTGCACATCTTGAGCAGTTACCATAGGTAGCGCATCCACTGCGGCGGTGCAAGGGTTTCTAACACAGGCCCTCCATGGCCTGAAATAAGCAGCCGCGTCTCTGCTTTAGAGCCTCATCCTCGCTGAAAGGTGTTTGCTTTGTAGGCTGAGCTGGAGCGAGAGAGGCACCAGCATGAGGAAGCCCTCACTGCCATGAAGGCGGAGGAGAAGCTGAGAGTGCACAGAGTGGCCCATGACCTGGAGCTGAAGTGGACTGAGAAGCTCAGGTATGCTCTGCCCGTGTGTGCCCGCGCTGCCGCAGGTATGCAGAGGCTCCCCCCGAAGGGCCCTGGTGGCCGTATTTGAAGTGAAGTGTCCCCGTGATTTGAGACTGAGATCTTACATCATTTTTTTGTTTCCATTCAGATTTACTTCTTTCTGATTTCGTTGTGTTGAATACAAAATAGAGAACTAGCCTGAAGTTGGAATTCTTATTCTTGTACCTTCTTTTTAACTGTTGCTGAACTGATAAGTGGATTTGGTTAAGTGACTCATTTGCCTCGCGGCCCTTAACTATCAAGTGGTCTGCTCCTAGTCTAAGTCACAGGCTTGTGAGGAAGGTGAACGAGGCGCCTGGGCAGCCTGTGGCGAGTCTCCCCGCTCCCTACGGGATAAGTCTCCTCACCGCTAAATCCCTACATTCCCTTCTAGCCAGGAGTGCTCTAAACTCCGCAAGGAGCTGTCGCTGCAGCATGAAGAGCACAAGAAGTCAGCAGTGTCGCAGCTGCTGCAGCTGAAAGAGCGCGAGAAAAACGCTGCCCGGGACTCGTGGCAGAGGAGAGTGGAGGACCTCCTGAACCAGGTGCTTCTGGGGCGCCCTGCGGGACGAGCCTTTCTGAGACACTGGCTGTAGCGCCGTGTAGCTGGTGCACTGTACGTTGTTATTTTTATAGGGCAGTCTTAATTAAAATTTTTAAAAATATGTAAAATCGAGGCAGTCACAAACATAGGAGACATTGCACTAAATACTTCTATGTCTAGTCCTGAACACTGAAATAATTTTTTTGTTAACATTTGAAATGAACATATTAGGGATTTTGAATGGGAAATTTAGCTACTTTTCGAAAATATGTAATCTTTCTCAAGTCCTTTGGTGGATTGTGGGCAACAGAAGGTCACATTCAGTCACGTGTGCAGTTACCTGAGCCGTGTACCAGGGTGGGCAGTTTCCTCCTTCCTCAGCAGTGAGTGGACACTGGCACCTCTTGGTGGGAGCTGTCCCCGTTAGCAGAGCCTCTCTTTTGCAGGACATTTATAACCGCAGTTAGAACAATGTGCAGGTAATCACCTCGTTATACAACCTCCTAGTTTACGAGTTTTTAGTGACTCATGAGTCACAGGCAGATGAGCGAGTGCAGGACTGGCCGGAGAGCCGCCTGACAGTGGAGCTGGGCATCCGCCGTTCGCTCTCGCCACAGCCGTGCTGAAGCTCAGAGCAGGCACCCAGGCGTCCTGAGAGGGGCGAGCCTGCACGTCCTTCAAGACGCTTGGGGCCTGGCAGCTTGTGTCTGCTCTTTCACCATAATTTACGGCACTCTGAAAGGCAGTAACCGTGTGTGTGTGTGTGTGTGTGTGTGTGTGACCAAACAGGAGACTGTTTTGTGCTATAGTACACCCATACTCAATCCTGCTTAGAGCCAAAAAGAAAGGAAGGCGCTCGCCTTTCCTATGCACTTCAGCCCCTGAGAATGAGCCTGCTGTAACTCTCAGGTGTAGGAAAGCATCAAATTTTCAGGTTCCTTGAATCAGGTGTTTCAGTTTTATGGAATTTTTCAAAAGCTGTTACTGTCACCCTGCTCCAGCCTAGAGTCAGTTCTGTATAGTTTCCTTTTATTATTTCACTGCATCTTCTATTTCTGCCCAATGATTACACTTCTAGTCCAGGTGATCTTCCTGGGATAGGCAGTAGGTGCATGTGAATTCTTTAAAGCAAAAGAGCTACATTCTTAGTCTAAAGAAAAGACTCTGTGAGCTGTCTCCTCTAATCCTATTTTTATTTTGTTCTTAAAATGATATCACATATTCCCTGGCTTCTCTCTTCATATATATAAAGAATATATATATATATATATATATATATATATATATTTATTTATTTTTTGTACTTTAGGCAAGGGTCTACAGGGTGTTCAGGGTCTCACTACTAGATCAGACTCATAGTGATCCGCTCATTTACAGCCTCCCAAGAGCTGGGACTACAGGCACGCGCTACCACACCCAGTCTCAATCGCCATCTCAGCGAGGCCAGTGGGCACAGCCAGCATGGCAGGCCCTGGGATCAAACCCCTGGCCGCTGCACCTGCTTGCAGGCGCTTTAATCTGCAGAGCTGTTTGGCCGGCCCCTGACTTCTGTCCTCGAAAGGCAGCTTTCTTTTGGCTCGAGCGTGGTGATGCATTTATTCAGCCCCGTCTGTGATACGCGCTGGGAAGCCCCAGCATTACGGGCAGATTGTGGGACCCACCTTTTACACTTCTCAAGCTTGCTGTCTCGCAGGCAGCTCTGTGCATGGGTGCCTCCAGTGAGGCCAGAGTGCAGCAGTGGCGGGCGGAGACAGCTGGCGCTGAGGGAGCAATGTGGGAAGGGTGGCTGTGCTTGTCCCTTCCCAGCCGCACCTCAGGGATGCCAAACCTTGGCTGCTGTCCGCTGTGGTGGCTGTAGTGTCCGGCACAGATATCAGCAAGTGCTGCAAACTGGAGCATCCCGCAACCCATTCTGGGGATTGTATCCCGGGCCTTGGCACTGATCGATGTCCCCAGATCCTATATTTTTCATTTTGAGATGGAATTTGCTAAATTGCCCAGGCTGGGCTTGATCTTGCAGTTCTTCTGCCTCAGCGTTCCTGAGTGTTGGGAGTTGAGGTGTGGGTCACTAGCAGCACACCACTGTGTGGGAGCTTGGAACATCAGTGAGAAGGCCGCGGGCATTGGGGGCGGGGGCGGGAGGGCCTAGCTTTTCAAAGTGCAGAGTGTGACAGAGAGAGCCGACAAGTATTCACAGACATGTCAACCTGTATCTCTGTTTCCCAGGCACTGTAAGGACAAGGCAATGAGAGAAAACACCCAGGGAGCAGTGGGGGACGGGGTATCATGGAGAGCTTGGTACTCGTTAACGGTGAGACTCTGTCAGGGCTTATGGAAATTGTGACTTTACAGAACTTCCTGCAGCCGTGATATTGAAATGGAGACAGTGTATTTCAAAGACTGTGAATTCAAGGTCTGCAGCCAGTAGCTCTGGAGCTCACACCACGCCGCCCCCCAGCTCCTCCTCGGTGCCGCAACTCCACACAAGAGTGGATGAGCGTGCACACCCAGCACAGCCGGTCCGCAGCGCCCCTGCCGGCAGCCTTCAGGATCTTCTAGGCCCTGCCGCTTCCCTGGCTGAGCCCACCCTGCGCAGCTCTGGGGCGGCAGCTCTGGCCTCTCTCCGGGCTCTGTGCCACCACTCCTGCTCACCGGCAAGGGATTTTCCAAGGAGCTGAGTGGCGCTTCTGTTACTGCAGGCCTCAGCCCTGCTGCGCCATCAGTCACAGTAGAATCCCATGCCCCTGCTCTGGGTCCAGGGCCCTCCGGAGCATTGCCCCTTACCCCTGTCCCTTTCCCCAGCCACCCGGCCACCTGCAGGTTGTGCAGCATATAGGTGAACCTGCTTTACTGGCCGCCCCTGTCCACAGCCCCTCCACGTGGACAACATTTTCTCTAGAGACGGACGTGGGTTTTTCTTTACTTTGTTAAATTCTGTGCCCACAAAGATCTTGTTGACCACCGCCTCTCACGCAGCCCTCGTTCAGCCCTTAGTCCTCGTGCCTTGTGCCTCTGCACAGCAGTGTTAGCTCCCTGCTGAGCCCCGCCCTCAGCCATGCTAGGTCCACACTAGCCATGACATGTGGGGACCACACAGCCAGCTGTGTGAGATGTGGCGTGCTAATTGTCCTGCCCCTGAGGACTTGAGTTAGGTTCATTTCATTGAGAAGAGAGACTTTGAGGAGACATCAGACAGTTCCGTAGAGTACTGTGTAGACGCTGAAGCTCGGTGAAGTGTTAAAGTTGCTGTGGGATTTGAACCAGGCCTAGAAAAGGAGGCCAGCGTCTGAGAGCAGGAGGTTGGGATGAGTTGCGTAGAGGGCGAGGGAAGAGAGTAGCACGCTTGCTTTTGGGTTGCAGGGTATTTTAGAATTTCTTACATTCAGTAGATTGAAAACCAAGGGTTCCCGAGGAAGAGACCTTGGAAAGCCAGTTTCTGTGAGGCCTGTTTCCTGCTGCTCCCGAGGCTGCGCTGCCGGGCGCCCTGAGGCCACTTGGGGCTGGCAGCGCTTGCAGCCGGTGTCGCGCCTTCACAGGTCTCAGACTGGGGGAGCCTGCGTGTGGGATTGCTCACTGGTGGTGTCTTGTGTAATTGCATGTTCAAATGGTAGCGTTCTAGATACATTGGGTTCAATACATGACTACATTTTTACCTTTTTACTTTTTTCACTTGGCTACTGAAAATTTAAAATGACTCAAATGGCTGAAGTTGTAGCAGTAAATGATGTTCTGGTCAGACAGCGCCAGTCTAGTAATCCGAGTCCCGGGACGATAGTCAGGTTGGCTTTGGTGCTCAGTCTCACGCTGCTGTCCTTTCTCTTCCCTTGTGTTAGCAGCCAAGTCTGCTCTCTCTTTAGAAAGTATATTCCCACATATAAGAAGAATTACCTTTTCATGGGTTTTCTTAAGTCGCACTATTTAATCGCACCTGCTTTCTGCCCCCACCCACCAGGGCCAGGGCCCCAGGCTGTGCGCATGGTTGGCAAGCACCTTACTCTGGGGAAGCTCCCCGCCCCCAACAGCACTGACTCTTAACCAAAGAGTGGAGGGAGGAGGCAGGGCCTGTGGAGAGGGAACAGCCAGGGGCCTGTAAAAGCACCTTCTGCAGGATAACTCGCTCAGAGACCTTGCCAGATGCCCTGAGCAGTGACAGAGAGCCAGAGAACCCAGCCACACAGTTCTGAGTCCAGCCTCAAAGGGAGCAGGGCAGGCGACTGTAGACCAGCGCTCCGGCCCATCAGGGGCACTGAGGAGAGGTGGCTGAGGAGCACTGCCTGGGCAGAGGTGGGGGAGCCTGAGTGAGGCTCCCGTGGAGGGAGAGGGCCCGCTGAAGTGCCAAAGCTGTGAAATTTACTTTTAAATCTTAGGTTTCATGTTCGTTTTCCTCTAGGAATTAGTAAACGTGAAATTATCATTGAAAACCACTATGTGATCTGCTTTAGGAAATTACTACAAACTGAGCAGTACTGGGTTTGGAATTTTTCTAAGCCTTAAACATAGTCCCTAGAATTGCACTATGTGAGTATTGCCTCTAGGAGTTAGAAGTCTGCTAACTTATCTCTGGCTAGTAATGTGAATTTAATTCTGTTGCTTGGGCTCTGTTAGCCATTTAGCATGAAAGTGACGCTGTAGCTGCAGGAGTTCGTGGAGGTTTGCTGGGCCTGCCTGTGACCAGGCCCGGGTGTGCAGCAGAGGTACAGGGTTCCCAGGTGTGCATGGAGGTGCCTGCATAAGGCCCTGGTGTGCAGCAGAGGTGTGAGGTTCCCAGGTGTGCGTGGAGCCTGCCTGCATAAGGCCCTGGTGTGCAGCAGAGGTGTGGGGTTCCCAGGTGTGCATGGAGCCTGCCTGTGACCAGGCCCTGGTGTGCAGCAGAGGTGTGGGGTTCACAGGTGTGCGTGGAGCCTGCCTGTGACCAGGCCCTGGTGTGCAGCAGAGGTGTGGGGTTCACAGGTGTGCACGGACCTGCCTGCATAAGGCCCTGGTGTGCAGCAGAGGTGTGGG